TTTTACATAATTTTATCTTTGGTGGGTAGAAATAATTTTTAAAAATTCAAAAATATTTTTTTGATATTTATTTTTATCAAATTGTTTATATTTTATCAAATTAACGATTTTGCCCTTGAAATTGAGTAATGATATTTTTAATTGTCATTATTTGAAACAAGATTCAAAATTCAGGATCAAATGTATCACAATTGAAAAGTTAAGAACTAAAATAACACAAACCCAAACTATAGGGACTATTAATGTAATTTACCCTTGTTTTATTTATTTTTTATCTTGTGAATTTTTATATATACATTGTTCATAATAAAAGACAAAACTCAATCAATTGGCAAGTTGGTTTGTGGCTAAAATTACCACAAAAGGCAAAATAGGCTATTTTAGTAATAACAAACAAAACATCACATCTAAACCATAATCATTACACTCTTCTCTCACAAAAAAATTCAAAAAATTCTTTCCAAATTAAATTTTTTAGCCCAAACTAAAATAGTCAAAAAAATAAAAAAATTAAAAAGTTAAAAAGCCAACCCCTTCCCAAAGGGAGGAATAGTGGCAAATGAACCGTCTATTATCCAAAAGTTTACTTCTTGTCCATTAATTTTTTTTATATAACAAATATGGTTAAACATATTAGTATAATTATTGGTTTAATTTGAATATACTATGTTGGAAATATAGTAAAAATTTTGGATAGAATAAATGTAATAATAATAATAATAGTAAAAATTAAATATTAACAAAGAAAGTTCAGAATAGCTATGTTTGTTTTGAAAGATGGAGAGGGGAATTCCTAATCCCTTGATATTGGTATGAGCCTTGGAAGGGGAATTACGATGGAAGAGGTGGAGATGGTATTAGAAAAAATAGTCCGTCGGCCTTTTTTTTATTTATTTTATTTATTTTTTAAATGTTGGGCATTTTTTTTTGAACATTAATATTTATTTTTTTTCATTTTTTTGTTAAGTAAAAATCATTGTTTTATTTGTTTTATTTTTTTCTTATTTTTAATTTTTTTTATGTTGGGCATTTTTTTGAACATTAATATTTAATATTTTTGTATTTTTGTGTTTGTTTTTTTATTTTACTAGCGTATACATGTGCCTGAAGGCACGGTGTAAATAATGTTAGAATTAGAATATAATTGTAATCCCAACACTATTTAAATTTATTTTTTAATTTGATAAAATCACAAATTTATTATAAAATTTTGGAATTCTTACAAAACTCTTCACGAAAACTCGCTTTTACTTATATAATATATAACTAGATAGATAGATGTGTTTGGCATGCATACAATTTTCAAGGGTATACATATAATATTGCTTTTACTTATATAATTATATGAAAATTGTATGTATGCCTATAATGTCCTAATGTATTATGGGTATACATACGTTCTATGGAAATATATGTAAAATATATTGAACAAAAAGAAGAAAATAAAAAAATAAAAAAATAAAGAGAAAAATAAAAAGGGAGAAAATAAAAAAAATAAAAAGAAAAGAGAGAGAAATGTGGGATCATGGGATCATGGAAGGATGGATGAGAAAAAGAAAAAGTAAGAGAGAGAGAGGCGGGAAAGTATAAAATGTATATGTAGGAAATCTTTTGGGAAAATACATCTCAATTATTGTTTTATAATTTGAACAGATCTAAGCCATCCAAATGTTTTAATAGGACAAAAATATTTTGAAGATTTAAAAACCGTCCTACTTTATTAAAATATATGTTGCAGATTCGTATAAGATCTAACTTTATGAAGTCTATCAAATAAATGTCCACTACACAAAGTAAAATCTGGCTCCTAATTTTGGGATCGTAGACTTTTTTTATATAATATGAATAAAAATAAGTGAACAAAAAAGAGAAAAATAAAACAAATAGAGAGAAAAATAAAAATGAAAAAAAATAAAAAATAAATAAAAAGAAAAGAGAGAGGAATGTTGGATCATGAGATCATAGAAGAATGGGTGAGAAAAGAAAAAAATAAGAGAGAAAAGCGAGAAAATAGAAAATGAACATGTAGAATATTTTAAAAAAAATATATTTTAGTCATTGTTTTATAATTTGAATAGATTGAAGTCGTTCAAATATCCTAATAAGACAAATTTAAAAACCATCATATTTTATTATATAAATATAAAAATAATTTAACAATCTAATTATTATCAAAATAAATATAATTTTAGTTAACTTCCTTACTAATAATCTCTCGCTATTAATTCTTTTATTATGAATTTTTTTCATTTTACGTCGGAAAAGAAACGGGGCGATAAAATGATTAAGATATATGAAACTGTATTCTCTTTAAAAATGCTACGCCCCTTTCTGCACTGCAATGATTGTTTATGTGCAGCAAAACGTAACTTACGAAGTAAGAGTTGTCAAACACTCAAAAATAAATAAAATATATCTCTAAAAAGATTATATAACAGATTATGTAGTACAAAAGTATGTACAAATACACATGGAAGAGATAGTTGTGTTTTTATGTAGTCAGTGCAACATTAGAGTTTTTGTTTGGTGGTCTTACTTGAAGTTAGTAAGACCAATGCAGTTCCGCAATAAAGTTACAACCGGATTGATGGTTTGTTCAGTCCGATTGCTAGTCTCGGAGTCAGGCTGTTTCATTTGAACTTTGGTAATAGAAGTGTTAAATGATAAATCTTATTCTTTAAGAATGAGACTCTACAAAGAAGAATTAAAATGTAGGATTGGTTTGGGGTGTTTTAAAAAAGTATATTTTTTGTTTTTTTTTAAAAAGATGTGCAAAAAAATAAAGAGGTGATGTGATGGAAAAAAGATAAAAAGATGGATTATATAGTTCATGCCAAACCAACCCTTAATAAAATTATAACTTGCAAAATATACAAAAGGCTCAGAGTTAATTTAAGGGTTGGTTTGAGATGTTTTAAAAAAGTGTACTTTTTGATTTATTGGTTTATATGAGTTGGGTTTGGGTTGGATTTGATGTGATGTGTTAGAGAGGTAATGTGATTTAAATAAGATGATGTGACTTAAATGGAATAGTGACTTTTTGACTTTTTGTATTATTTAGGGTTGGTTTGGGGTGTCCTAAAAAAGTATACTTTTTGTCTTTTTACGAAAAGATGTGCAAAAAAGTAGAGAGGTGATGTGATAGAAAAAAGATAAAAAAATGGATTATATAGTTCATACCAAACCAACCCTTAGTTTATGCCAAACCAACCCTAAATTAAGGTAATGCAATTTTACTCAAGAATTCTTAGGGAGCTTTTCTTTCTATTAATCTTAAGAGTTAACTTAGGTATTAAAGGGGGTTTTTGATATACATCCGTCGATATATTCACCTGAGTTGTGTTTTCGAGACATACATCGTTCAAGGAGATTCAAACTTGATCACAAGGAGTACGTCGATAAGTTCATTTGAGTTGTGTTTTCAAGATATACGACATCTTTCGAGGAGGTTTAAATTTAATCATAAGGAGTACGCGTGTGACGAATATTTTGTGCTCATACACAAATGTTAACTCTTTTTTTTTTTATTATTTTATATATATATATATAAAAACATTTCTGATGTGGACTGTGATTGATACATAAAAAAATAAAATAAAAGAGATATATTAGGATAGAAACAGAAGTGAGACATATCTGTATTACTTATATTTAGGATGTGTTCACATAGAGGAGAAAAATAAGTAGTTACAAAAATAAATTAATAGAAGTATATATAAATGAACTTTTAAATTAGGAACACAATGAATTCAAAAGATAAACGATTTATGTCAGTGTTCCACAAGCCCAATTGTACAAGTGGATTGGGGACAAACTTAAAATTTAATTATTTATTCTTTAGGAATATTTTCAATAAGGTCTTGAAATACTGTTGCCAACACACGAAGATAAACGAATCGTGTTTCTCTACTTCAAATCAATAGGAAATAGTATAAATACTTACAAAATTATGGACGTCCTAGTAGATCTGTATCTCGGTGCAAATGATGAAATTGTGATATGAGACACAACAGTTATGCTCACCTTCACCTCCAAGAATGTGTATGTTTACCTCGTGCCGTTTTGGCAACAAGTCAAAAACGCCACGTTTTGGCAACAGTTCAGAAACGCCAACCCATGCCCACTGCGTACTGCGTTTTCAATCCCATTTGGGAAGACCAAATAAGCGACACCCAAATTTATCAAATTACCCTCTGAAATAATTTAATTAATTAATTTAAAAATCAAAAAATATGAATATTTTGATCATTTTAAAGTGATGTGACATTTTTAAAAAATATTAAATCAAAAATAAAAAAAGTCAGCTTTTTACAAACTTCTCAAATCACTTTCAAAAAAATTAAAAAAACTTGGTAAAAAGCCAAAAGTCAATTTTTTACCAACTTTCCAAAACACTTCCTAATTTCTCACCGATTTATAATTCTTACTAGGTTTTATTTTCTCTTTTGGCACACTTTGCTGTATATTTTTTTAAATTTTTTTTATTGAAGTTTCAAACAAGAAAGTGTATTTCCACAATGACTCAGCATCAATATATATATATATATATATTTGGAATTATGATGACCATTCATATCAAAAATCCAAAACAAACAAATACACTGACTCTTTGATGTGGAGATTATGTAGAACAGCTGACATTAACTTAAGCTAACTTGACTTCCCATAAAACAAGAAAACAAAGGAAACAAATAGTAGGACAAGGGAAAAAAAAAAAGAAAAAAAAGAAGATTTCTTGTTCTGAAGATCACAAAATCTCGAATCCTCGTAGAGGAAGCCCCTTTGACCCCCTCTCTCTCTCATTGGTTACATTTTCTTTTTCTTTTTCTTTTTTTTCCTACTCCTCCAATCACCACCCGCCACGTGGCAAAGGGGGGTGAGGGGGTGACCCCAAAAAGGGGTCCCAAACATTATTCATTTTTTTAAATTTTTTTTATTGAAGTTTCAAACAAGAAAGTGTATTTCCACAATGATTCAGCATCAATATATATATATATATATATTTGGAATTATGATGACCATTCATATCAAAAATCCAAAACAAACAAATACACTGACTCTTTGATGTGGAGATTATGTAGAACAGCTGACATTAACTTAAGCTAACTTGACTTCCCATAAAACAAGAAAACAAAGGAAACAAATAGTAGGACAAGGGAAAAAAAAAAAGAAAAAAAAGAAGATTTCTTGTTCTGAAGATCACAAAATCTCGAATCCTCGTAGAGGAAGCTCCCACTGGTCGGTGCAGCTCTAATCCATTTTAATTGGGTCTTGAAACCTGTAATCAAATTTTAAGTACATATCTTAATGAGTTTGTTTGGATTCCACAAAATACCCACAAGAAAAGTATAGAGAGAGAGAGAGAGAGAGAGAGAGAGAGGAGGAGGAGAGATATGAATCATGAGACTAAAAACATGTTAATGAAATATTAAACAATAATTAGAAGGTTTCACATTTGGGGAATCCAGGATTAAATAAGTAATTTAAAACTGTTTAGACTAATGACTTTCTTAAAAAATAAAATGTTCTCACTATTTTATAATATTTGACACTGTAAAGTTTGAACCCTAAGAGAGAGAGATTGCAAAAATCCCCTACAAAGGTTAGGCAGGAAAGAAATGCTCTTAAAATTTGTTAAATAGCATATTAACTGTAGCTATGCTCACAATGTGTATGAATTTATTTGACATTAGCCTTACCAGATTTATGAAAATTTAAAATTTCAAACCCAATGTATGTCAGATTATTTATAATTTAATATTCCAAACGAGAAAAAATGTCTTTTAGGCAAGTTTGATTCGCAGGAATATATTATTATTATTATTATTATTGATGTAAAATGCAAGTACAAAAAGTATAATTGGATTATATCAATGCTAAAAGGCCTAACCTGAAAGTGTCATGGCTTAAAGAATATATTATCTTGGCATTATAATTCTTGGATAGTTCATTTTTGAATAAATTACAATCCCAGTTCTTAAAATTTGACTTTTGTGCCACTTTAATTTCTAATTACAACAAATTTATTTTGAATTTTTCATATCATGCAAATTTAAAAATTTAACTAAAATCAAAAGGAAAAATAATCCTTTCTTTCTTTTCAAAGTGATTGAGGGCTTTCTGTTCAATTAGAAATGGTCTGTTCCTTTTTTTGTTTTTTTTTTTTAAAAATAATTTTCCTTTTGATTTCTGTCCAATTTCTTAATTGATAGACTAAATCTACAGAAGATGAAAGATCAAAATGTAAAAATCATTACAATTAGAACTATAAAAACTAAATTAACACAAGATGCAAATTACAGTGAGAAGAAGCATAAGGGGTCTACCTTTGCAACAATGTTCAAGATTGATTATGCTTCTTCCTTATCATGAAAATTTTACATAATTGTTTATTGTTTTTCGAGTTTGGACCATTTCTTGTGGTGGCTATTATCCAATTTGATATAATCAGATCCTATCGATTGAAAAAAAAAAATGTTTAATTACCCTTTAATTTGTTAAGGGAAATTTTTAGAATTTCGTATTGAAAGTGCTATTTTGAAATAAGTTGTTCCATCAGAAAAAAAAAATAAAAAATAAAAAATAAAAATAAAATAAATTTACGAATAACACTAAAATAGTTGTAGATAAAATCAATAGGGGAAATTGCAAAATTGTGGGATAGTGAAAAATAATTGCACTATAGACGAAATATTTTCTAGTACAACTCTAATACACAAAAATGACTTGAAACATGTATACAAAAAATTTAGACCATCATAAAAATATAAATATTATGAAAAATGATATAAAAATCTATTTTCTAAACCATTATTTTAGACTAATGTATTAAGGAGATGATTAATTGATAATTAAAAAATATTTAATTATCAACTAATAATCTTTTTGACACATTACTAAACCTAAAAAATAGATCTAATTTTTGAGTCAAAATAGTAATGCTCTATTTCCCCAAATCAATATTGCTGCTGATTTTATCATTTTAAAGGGGAAAAAAATTTCATCAACACCGAGAGAGAGAGAGAGAGAACTGAAGTGAGCTGGGGAAATTGTGCAGTGCCGACATAATAATTGGATAGAAGTTGTGCAGCTCACCAGGAAATAGCTTTCACCATGCTGCAAGCTGTGTAAGGAAATGCCATACTCGTTGAAAGGTACTGCCATTCCAGATGAGTGGACCAACATCACTTCTTCCCCAAACATTGATTTTATGTCTATTGCTCCTCTTGGCACGTCCGTTGCTATTCCATTTATAAACACTGTTATAAATCCTCCTGAACCATTCATTCCCAACAACATAAGCTCGTCAAAATTACCATCAAAATATATAAAACAATCGAAATTTTTTTATTTAAAAATCATCATAATCAATTGTCAAATTGTGCAGTACTCCAGTCTAAAAACACTTATAATTATTGAATCATATAAAAATCTACGTACACAAAATACTTGAGATATAATTCAACAGCTGTTTTAAAAATTAACACTAAATAAATAAAATCAATAAAAATGTACTTGTTTTTTTTTTTTTTTTTTTCTTTCTTTAATGTTGATAAATGGTAGAAAACAAGGAGTTACTTTTTTGCTAAAATAACATTATTAATTGTCAAAATATGCATTCTCCTGTCTTAAAACATTCATAATTATTGAATCATGTAAAAATACTAAATTCTTAAGATATAATTCAACAACTATTCTAAAACATGAGAGTTAAAGGTAGAAAGATTTGAAGACCAACCGTACAATAATTTTCTAATCAAATCAAGCATAATCAACGTCTTCGTGTGTGTGCATGAGAGAGAAGACACAAGATTCTCTATTCTAAAATTTATTTTCCCTTTATTTCAATGCAATCACCGTCACAAGTTCTTATATTTTTAGATTATGATCATATAGTACAACACTATGAATGCATTAGAATAATTTTTAAAAAAATTAGATTTGCACAACTGGTAGCGTAGCATCGGCAAACAACTCTGGCATTGCCATGCAATTACCAAATTGGTACTGTAAATTGGAAGCATCCGAACCGCCCAAAATCGACACCATCGATGAGTTTTGCTCAATTTCAGGGATACCCATTTGACCAGAATAGCAAAAGAGATCATCAACAACACTACCATTTTCAACAAGCCCACAAGATGATGACGATGATGAAGAAGAAGAACCCACATAACATGAAGATGGAGATAAACCCAAACATGGTGAATTAACCATAAACCCACTTTGATACTGAATTGCACCGCCGCCGCCGCCGCCGCCGCCGCCAGCAGTGGCCTGAGCTTGTTGTTCTCCGGCAAGACTAGCCTGAATCTGCCTCTGTCGGCGTCGAGACCGCGACCGCCGATTCTGGAACCAGTAGAAAACATTGGCATCTCCAACAGAGCCAAATTTCTCAAGAAGTTTTCTTATCCTCACAGTTTCATCTTTGGGAGGATTTACCATTCCACTGTTGAAGATGGACTCGAGTATGAGGATTTGCTCAGGTTTGGGAGTCCATCTTGATCTGACTGGCTCAGTTCTTTCAGTTCCGAGGTTTCGAGGCGTGTTTGGGTCTTGGCTTTCACTTTCCATGATTTTGAGAGAAAAGATACCAAAAATAGGTTTTCAAGGCACAAACCTTGATGAAAATAAAAGAGAAAAAAAGTGAAAAAAAAAAAAAGGAAAAGGATTTTTGGAGGAAATTTAGAGCACATGAACACACAGTAGTCTACATCAAGGTTCCGTATTTAAAGGCCTAGAAGGAATGTTGCCTGTGAAGTTACCATCCTACCCTTCTGTAGTAAGAGAATTTAACAATGCCTAGATTTGCTTTCTCATGATATTTTGCACAAGACTATCCTTCTTTCTTAATTGTAACGTATTCTTGAAGGATAAAGTTCAAGATTACAGTAATATTAAAGAATCCTAAAATATCAAAATATTTATAATTTAATATTATTTATTTATATATATATATTTAAAAATACTTTTATGTATCTCAATATGTATTTTAAAAATACTTTATGTATCTCAATATGTATTTTATATTGTTTCAATACTAACAATCGTGGTAATGACTTGTTTTTAGCATTTTCCATATTGCATACCTGTAATTTCTATCTAGAATTTTATTGAGGAGGAGGATTCCTTCAGTTCAAAATTTAGATTTGAGGAAATTATTTAGATTTGTGAAGTTCACCATAAGTCTTATTTCGATAATTCGAACCGTTCATTTTGTTAGTGTTGGCTTATTTTTTCTACGAAGGAAAATATCATAAATGCGAGCGTGTCAGCAAAAATTGAAAAATCCTTACAGATTAAATTCAAGTCAATTATCAAGCGATTGTGTTGACGGTTCTTTTGCTTCAACAAAGAGGACTTCAAAATTGCCAAAGTGTAGAGAAAAGAAAAATTAAAAGAAGAATGAGGGACGGAGAAGGACGATTGAGTGAACAATCAAAATAATAATTACTTACCTCTACTCTTATGCTTCGAAAATGAAGTGCATAAAATGCATCGAAATGGAAATGCTGAAAATAAATGTTTCGAAATATAAATCTATGTTAAGCTACTTCTAAGAAAATAAAAATGACAAGAAATATTGAAATCGAGTGTCTTTGATTTAAGTTCTGGATCCCATTACAATGTAGCCATTAATGGCTATTTATAGAGGAAAAAATACAGCAATAACTACTTAGTAACTACCCATTTCTTCCATTTTATTCTCGTCTTGCCATGTGTCATTCCACTCATCCACTTTGTCCTTCCACTTATCCACTTTGTCCTTCATATTCTCCATCATCTCTATAACTTCTTTTAACTTCCAAATGAATAAGAGGATGCCACGTGTCCTGCAAAAAATTACAGATTTATGGTGCCAACATTACCCCCCGTGGCCCTTAAAAATGATGTTTACTTTGAATTTTTGAAGGGCCAAACCAAGCACATGACTAATCTAAGCAATAAAGTGCTTTGAATAATATCAACAAAGTGCTTCGAATGATATAATAGCACCAATAAAGTGTTTCGAATGAGTATGAAATTATGACTAGATGACCAATAACAAACTTCGAAGGTGGTATAAAAGACCAAATTCATCGTTTGAAGGTCTTGCGGCACAAATTTGAAGGAACAACATCACCCTTCAAAGGTTGGAAGCATTGATATAGGATGATGATACTTACAATGAAGTTTCAAGGTTAAGCTTAATGCTTTGAATGTGTCTTCGAAACTTTATACAGTTTCAAAAGTGAAGTAATCAACCTTCGAAACAACTCTTGATACTTCGAATGTATCTTCAAAGCTTTATACTGTTTCGAAGGTGAAGTAATCAACCTTCGAAACAACTCTTGATGCTTCAAATGTATCTTCAAAGCTTTATACAGCTTCGAAGGCGAAGTAATCAACCTTCGAAACAACTCTTGATGCTTTAAATGTATCTTCGATGCTTTGATTGTGTACAACTGGCCATCAATTTGAAAAGATAAACCATTCTCAACCATTTATTTAAATGCATAGGTTTTTTCTAGCCAAGTTCATGCATTTTAAATGGTCATCCCTTGTTCTAGCCAAGTTCATGCTTCGAACTCATAAGAACAATTTGTTAATTTTATTAGCCACATCATCAAAATTATATTTTGATGTGAACCACAAATCCAAAAAGGATTTTGAACACCAAAAGTCATGGTATAGTGTGACCATGAAAATTCATACTTTTTGACATTTTGAAAAATGTCAAAAATTTTGAATTCATGAATAGTGGCTTGTTCATTATTCTTGACCATGTTTGTTTTAAAAACATGATTTTTGCTGAATAGGTTTTTATAATTATTTGGCAAAGTGGGTTGTTTTTCCATGTTAGCCATTAATGGCTTATGAAAATCACCCATAGATATGTTATTTTCATGACTTGATTCTCTAAAATTTGGTTTTTGGACCCCCCGAGTCATACATGGAACATCATTCTTAGCCAAATTTGGCCCGAGAACATATTCTTTCGTTGTGTTAATTTCATAATTTGGCTCTTTTAAAATGGACTCTTGAACCCCCCGAGCCATTGATGAAATCAACTCTTTACTTTTGTTATTTTTAACCATGAAAAAATTCTGAAAAAATTCACCAGTTTCGGCCATTAAAGCCTCAGTTAAAGACTTGGTAGTGAGAGTTGATAACTCATCATTCCATTGGCGAATTTCCATATCAAGTTGATGAATTTCTCTAATTAAATGGTGTCTTTTTTCTTCCACCAAATAATATTGTAAGGGATGAAAGTTTATTTCATCAAGAAAATAGATCTCTTCTTGAAGATCCAAAATTTCTCTTTCACGCCAATATATTTCATATTGACAAGTTCGAATGGCGAAATCCAAATAGTTTGTCATTTCTTACACTTGGCTATCCCACCGGGCGTGCTAAAAATTGTTGGCTTATTTTTCCTACGAAGGAAAATATCATAAATGCGAGCGTGCCAGTAAGGATTGAAAAATCCTTACAGGTTAAATTCAAGCCAATTATCAAGCGATTGCGTTGACGGTTCTTTTGCCTCAATAAAGAGGACTTCAAAATTGCCAAGTGTAGAGAAAAGAAAAATTAAAAGAAGAATGAGGGAGATGGAGAAAGTCGATTGAGTGAACAATCAAAGTAATCATTACTTATCTCTACTCCTATGCTTCGAAAAAGAAGTGCATAAAATGTTTCGAAAAGAAAGTGTTGAAAATAAATACTTCGAAGTATAAATCTATGTTAAACTACTCCTAAGATAAGGAAAATGACAAGAAATATTGAAATTAATTGTCTTTGATTTGAATTCTGGATCTTTACAATGTTGCCATGAATGACTATTTATAGGGAAATATTTGTAGGAAAAAACTTCCAGCAATAACTACCCAATAACCACCTAAAACTACCCACTCTTCCATCTTTATTCCCACAATGCCACATATCTCTCCATGTCTTCATAACTTCCTTTAACCTCCTATTCATGCTCCATGTTCTTCACTTTATTCTCCATCATTTTTTCATATTTCATAACTTCTCATAACCTCCAAATGAGTAGGAAGATGTCACATGTCCTGCAATTTTATAAATAATAAATTAATAAATTAATTCAATCTCAACCAACTTGTCAACTAACGTCAACCCAAACTCACAAGAGTTAGCCTGTGTGAATTGAGTTGGATGGGTTAAATGATAAAAATTAATAGATATTGTAAGTGTTTTAACAAATATTTTAAAAATACTCATTAACAGAATCTATTTTTTAAAATTAAAGTGTTGTCATTGTGGAGAACAATGCCATTGAAGACAACTTGTCTTACACATATGAGAATAGAATTACGCATTGAAATAGAAATGTTAGGTGCGCTGAGATAGAAGTCGTAATATGTGATTGAGATTGATATTTGGTAGTGTGACATGAGACACTTATAAATTACAGTCATGCACTTATTTTTATTATATTTTTTATTTTCTAATTTCGTGCAGCTAATATTTTTGGTATTGAATTTTTTTGAAAATAGTCTTACAAGCACCATAAGTCAATAAAAGAATTAAGACATTTCATGCTTCCAATCATGGCATGAGATTGTAATGCATTATAACTTTTATTCTAAAAAAAATGAATATGAAATTTACCAATGAATAAGAGTGACTCAAATTCAATGTGTTGTGAGTCCATACAAAAATTGCATCTAGACTATTCAGTTACGTTTTTGGAGAAATTTATGAATAAATAATCTGTTATGTAGCATTACTCATATTTTTTTAATTTATTATAACTAAAATATATTGATTGTAATATAATGAAAATTACGGGCTAGTAACTACATTAATTAAAATCTGTTTTAAATTAATAAAAAATGAAAGTTAAAAAAAAAAAATTTACACGATGAAAACAATGCAAATTAAAAAGTAGTAGTTCTTCAAATGAAAAAACACTAAAGAGACTTCAAGCGACAAACTCAAATAAATATGAGTAATGATACAGAACTCTAAAAGTAGAACTGTAAATTGAGCTCTATTGATGTGATAATAAAAAAAAATATATATAAAAAGGCACAAATATCATATCATAAATGGAGATTAACTCATTAGAACTCCTCTAACTCTCTATATTTAGAACTCCTTTTTTCGATTATACATTTTATGCACTTTTGTTGGAGGATCCATCATAAAATATCAACTCCCAAAGCTAGGAAGCTCAATCAAAAGGCATGCATTTAACCTCAGGGGAAGCTCACTTTCACATTCTCTCTCTCTCTCTCTCTGATATTAAACCTATCAAAAAGTGTAGAGCACAGAGACGAGACAAGACAAGAGAAAGGGAAAGGGCTTAAGGTTGAAGAGTTACATTGATGGGTTAAAATGGTAAAAAGGGTAAAGAAGAAGGGTGTGAAGGGAGGACAAGGGAGTTAGGGTTTCGGTGAGCAGCATGTGAAGATATGCATGGAAAGATGAGTCTGTCACACAGTGTGAGTTGAGGAGAGAGAGAGATAGAACAATCAGAAGATATGGTCAAGAAAACTCTCCAATTTTATATTACTTGTGACGTTTACACCAGTCCACACAGCCTCTTCTCTGTCATTTTTATATTAAATGAGAGGAGGGAAAATGGTCGTCAAGGTTGGCTTAAACTTCGAACATCTCTCTCTCTCTCTCTCTCTCTCTTTCTGTCTCTCTCTCCCTCCTCAGTATAT